AGGCTGCGGTTCTTCTGACGCATCTCTTCTTGGCAAGCGCGGCGAAGGATTCCATCGAGAGGCATGGTCACCATCTGGGGCTCGAACTCAGGTTGCCCCTTGGTCCCCAAACATCGACGGCATTGCATCTGCGCCCGCTGCACCTGCAGGCACCTCACGCATTGCCGCGTAGTGTCAGCACGCTCCTGCACTAGCTGTCACGCAAAGGAGAAACGGCTGCGGCGGCGATCTGGAAATGTAGAGGCGTAAAAGCAACCGAATCCCAATCGCAATCTCATGAGTTGGCACCCTGGCACGTGCATCAATGACAGCACACGGGTCATGCTGTCCGAGCCTGTCCTCTCCCGTCCCATCATTACTGACAGCCACTGACAGCCGCTCTTTGTTTTTGCGAGCGCTACAAGCTTGTGATGCATGCCGGGGATGGATCTGCACACTGTACACAATAAAGCTGGCGCTTTGACCGCTTTCAATACCGACGGCAGTCGGGGCAATTGCGGGGTGGACGCTTGCCGTCGGCTGCGGGTGGTGCTGTAAACTTGCGCTTGCAGCCCCGGCAGGTCTGCTCGCCTTTCTTGCGGTCTTGCGTGTTTCGCGAGGCGCAATTCAAGCAATTTCGACCCTCTTTCTTGCCTGCAGCTACAGTGGTTAAAAAGATTTTGTGGCAAACTCTACAGGCAAAGGAGCCAGTCCACTGCCTGTTCTTCTGTTGCCGAATTTCTTCTTGACAAGCAAGACACAGGATGCCCGACGTTGGCATGGTGATCATCTCCGGCTCGAATTCGGGTGATGCCTTGATGTCCAAGCAGCGCAGGCATTGCATCTGAGCCCTCTGTGCCTGGCAGCATTTCAAGCAGTGTCGCAATGTGTTTGCATCCTCTTGGGCCAGCTGTGCCCGGGGGAACGCCTCGGCAATCTTCAGGGTGTTGCATCCAAAGCATTCGTGCTGCTCGAGGCCGTCGCCCTCCACCTTGCGACGGCGCTTCGGCACCACGCCATCCTTGCAGCGTCTGCACATGCCCGACCTATTGGCTCGGATCAGCTCCCACTGCTCGAAGGCGTAGGTATCCATCGGCAAGATTTGCTGGCATTCCTTGCAGGTGGCACAGGGCCGGGTCGCTTCTCGCACGGCCGCCCAGTCGATGGCTTCGCCCCGCAACTTCCGCAGGAGCAGGTCGGGGCCTTGTTTGGTGAGCCCGCGCTGGAAGAGCCACTTCGGAAAGGGTCGCAGGATGAGGACGTCGTCTCGGCTCCGGACCCGTGTTGTTGCTACGGTGCCGATGGTCGGGTCCACCCGCTTGTCCACCTGCAAGTCAAGAAGGACTGCTGGCAACGTCTTCCCTTCGCTGGCATGCGCGGTCATGGCGTAGGCCGGGATCAAGGGCAACTGTCTCCGGTTCACCTTAAGCGTCTTCATCTTGCGGCCGCCATCCAGGTACCAGTCAGTGGTCGTGGGCACGACCGGATAGATACCCGGCTCGTTGGTGCCCTCCAGCTGCCAGGTCGCGCCTTCGAACTTGATGTACACCACGGAGGGCCGCGGGTTGTTGGGGAGCCATTCCCAGGAGTGAACGATGCCAACCGTGCCGCGGAGCAGCTGCTTGGGCCGATCGAGGTGCTCCGTCAAGGTGACGCGCATGCCGATGGCAAGGGGAAGCATACCGGGCAAGTTTCCAGTGTCCTTGTCGTGGTATGTGAGCCACCTCGGATGTATTTGGCGCAAGATGATGCACAAGAAACGAACCAAGAAAGCCCCCCAACAAAAAGCATAGTGCTGAGGTTGACCCAAGGCGCTTGATCTTCCTCTCCCTGTCGCAGACATCTGCCTTCAGCGCGTCGCTCGAAGCCACATCGGTTGCCTGGGACCAGAGCAGCTCTGCATTGGCGTCCTTGGCGTACTTCCTGGCCCGGTCCTTGTTGATTTGGTACTTTGAATCATTGTTGGCAACGATCACCGGGGCTTCCTGGAAGCGGGGCAAGCGGAGTCGCGGGTCTTCCGGTCCAGTGATGACCCGGCGCCGGGAAGCGCCTCATCGTTGACCTCATTCCACCAAGGGTCTTTGCAGCGCTCGCGCTCCGTCAGCTCCACCATGCCTTGACAATCCTCCCACATCAGCCGTTGCCCAGCATCTACCAATGCATCTGGCGGCTTGCTGGAATCGTTGGGCCCAACGCGCAGGTGATGGGGCACGCTGGCCAGGTATCCGCCTTGCGGCGGCGGCAGCTGCTTGAAGTCGCCGATGAAGATGACGTTCACGCCGCCGAAGGGCCGGGCCTCACCAGCGCTGTCCGCTGACTCCGCTGATGCTGCAAACTTCCAGGGGTCGGTTCGCGGCTTGACCTGCCGCAGCCGCTGGTCCAGCACAGCAAGGAGATTGGCCGGTGCTAAGCTGATCTCGTCGATGAAGACCCAGCGCCAGTTGGCCATCTGCTGCGCTTTCTCGGGGCTGACGGCTTTGTCGAAGCTGCGGGGGTTGCAATTCAAGCCGATGGCGTCGTGGATGGTCTTGCCTGCGAGGTCCACGGCGTTGGTTGCTTGGAAGGCCACGAACTCGTAGTCGATGCCCTTCTTGTAGCCGGTCACGTCGAAGAGCTCCGTCAGCAGCTTCACCGCGTGGGATTTGCCTGTGCCCGGCGGCCCGTGCAGGAGATAGCGCAAGGGTTCCAAACCTTCTTCGCGCATGGATTCCTCTGGGTCCAGCAGGCCCAGCTCCACTTTGAGCCTGTCCGCGACCAGCTGGATCATGTCAAACTGCTTGGAGTTGACTCTGCTTCTCGTGCCGTCTAGCCAGTCGTCGATCATGCACATGGTCACCACCGGTCGCACCTCAGCAGGACAATCTATATGTTCAATGCCTTGTAGTATTTTATATCGCTTTGTTCAGCAGGGCGCACTGGAAACAAAATTTTGCTTACAACATGTTGCAACACAATTTTCGCCTGCCTGCCTCCAGCTCCGGCTCTAACACGTTTGCAACGAGACCAGCGCTCTTCTTCGCCTTCTTTTCGCTATTGCGCGAGGCCTTTGCCGCTTGTAGGGCCAGCACGCGGTCGATGTCAGCGGCGCCGGCGCTGCGCAGCATCTCCTCGTGGCGCTGGTAGGCGACCTCATTGGTGCTGCTGCTGGGCCCTTGCCAGATGGCGCTGGAGAGGCCGAACATGTGCATGGTCATGTCATAGAGCCTGGTCGTTGGGGCTGCTGCTGCTGCCTCCTGTGCTTCTTCTGCCTGGCTGTCAATGCCGTCCTCATCTTCGGTGGGCTTGAGGCCGTTGCCGCGGACGTGGGTGCGCGTGGCCGCGAGCAGGTCGTCGCCCTCGAGGTGGAAGTCCACGAGCTCGTCCTCCATGTCCTCATTACCCGAATTCTCTTCGAGGCCGTCTGTTGGGCGCAGCTGTCGAGGTAGGCAGAAGGCAAAGACGAAGTTGAGCACCTGGCGCTTCGCCGTTTCCGTCGGGAAGCCTACGCGTTCTGCGTGCCTTAGGAGCACCTCCGTGTAGTCGGCTTTGGGGCTCACCAGCTCGTTGATGAAGGGGACGTTGGGCGAGGCCTCCTCGATGTTGTTCACCCACGGAAAGAAAAGCACGAGGAGCCGGGCAGCCTGCCCTGCCTTGGTGCGGCCGCTCTGCGCGCCGAAGATGACCGGAACGTGAGGCCGAAGGCGCCGTTTGATGATCCAATCGTGGCGGTAAGCCTGTGCCAGCTTGCCATCGCCCAACGGCAGCCAGTCGTCACCGCCGGCCTCCCGGATGACGTAGTCCACGCCCGCCAACAACTTCTTGCCCTTCTTGCCGGCAGCGGCATTCTCTTCGAGCTTCTCGATGCCTTTGTCGGTGAGCTCTGCGTGGTACTTCTCCGGGCAATCGCGGTTCTTCTTCAAGCTGAAGGGGTACGTGGCCTGCTTCACCTGGAAATGCATGGCGAACTCATAGGCAGAGAGGGCATGGACATCCGATCGGTTGCCGCGGCCACCGTATGCGGTCCAGGGTGGGCACTCGGTGAGTTTGCGCCGGATGGGGTCGCGCTTGTCCACGATGGCCTTGCAGGACTCCTTTGGCCACGGCTTCTCTGCGGCAATGTGGTCCAGGAGCTTCAGCGGGTGATGCAAAGAGATATCAGTGACTTGCGCGGTCTTGACGGTCTCCGCGGCAGTGGGGTCCGGGTGTTCGGACATGATGTTGAGGTTGGTTGTCTCCACCGCACCGCGCACGATGCCTCTGCCGTAGCAATCGGTGATCAGGCGCTTCACCGTCCTGGCGCCATAGTAGCCCGCCTTGTTGTCCTTCAGGTCCTCGTAGAGGTGCTGCTGGCCCTTCATCATCTCCTTGGTCTCCTGGTTGGCGATCTGCGCGCGCTTGTTCTGGTAGTCGCACGCATAGCCGGCCTGCGCTGCCTGATTGATTTGTGCTTCGCGGACCAGCTGCTCGAGGGTCATTTGCTCGTGACACTTCTCCCGGCAGAGCTCGTGGTTGTGGGTGTCCTCGGTGATGGGGAACCGGTAGGGCAGCTGGACGTCGCCGTTGCACCGCAGCGCGCTCAGCAAGGCCGGGTGGTTGCCGTTGAGGTTGGGGTCGTTGCAGGGCCCCCACGGCAAGCCCACCATGCTTCGTTTGCCCTTGTGCGGCATGTTCTTCTCCTTGGCGAGGCTGGGGCAGATCAGGATGGGCTTCTCCGTCAACCACTCCGTTCGCGGAAAGTGGGCCTTGCATTTGGTGGGGTCTTTCGGGTCCTTGCAGTGGTTCAAGGGTTGCCTGATCCCCTTGCTGTCCGCGATGTGCACGTGGTGCTGCTTGTGCATCTGCAAGACCTCCACATCGGAGAAATACGCCAGCCGCCAATCCGCGGCTGCTTTGTTTGGATCGCGCTGGTGCTGCGGCCTGCTCGGCATCAGGGTGGACTGCTTGTACTCCGGCCACTGCGCTTCGATTTCTTCCCGCTTGTCTTCCCATTCTTCGGGATGCTCATAGATCATCCTTCTCACATGCGCTGAATAGTCCGAATACTACTTCCGCAGGAGCTCCAGGAGCGGCTCTTGGCCCATCTCTACCAAGTCCTTCAAGGATCTGAACTGGTGAAAGCATTCCAGGAAGAATTGTCCATGTAGGTGATATGCACCGCAGCGTTGACATTCCAGGGAGGCATACACCGCATCGATCCGACCAAAGACGCCGCCCCTCGCGGTAGTGCTGCTGCCAAACGCATCCATGCAGGGATTGTTCGAGCAGGCGCAGTCCGGGCACTTGGGGCAGAACTTGAGGCCGAAGATGTGCCGGAAAGCTAAGCCGACCAACACATAGAAGGCGTAGACGCAGGCCAGCGGGTCCCTCGCCAGTAGCGCCCGCCTGGTTTCGTAGTCCGGTAGCTCCTCGCGGGACAGGGTGTAAAGGTTTCGCAAACCAAAAGATGCAAACACCGGAACAAAACAGAGGGGCAAAGAAAAGTAAAGATGATCCGCCTTGGAACCCAAAGTCCTCGGCCAAACGCTCCGGCGACAGGCGGCAGAATTCCACGTCCAGTTCTGGCTTCCCCCTAGAATACATGTTCTTGTTGTCGTCGCCGGCAATGGCGGGGGCGCTTTGCCGGACCCCCCCCATGCGAATGGCAAGGGCTGAATCCTTCTCAGACGGGGAGAAAGTGATGAACAGCGGCGTTCCGTAGCAGATGCGATTGGCGTGCGTCTGGTGCCGCATGGTGCTTCGTACCGCGTGGGTGCCGGGTACTTTGCGCGTTCGGGCCTGCAGGTTGTTGAGGACGTGGTGGGCACCGACGGACAAGCCAGGCACATAGGACACCTTGTTCAAGTCGCCGTTGACGGGCTTTAGCTCGTTGTTGGTGTCCAGGTACATGCCGAGGTACAGCTGTCTGTAGACTTCCTGCGTGGCCGCCTGAATTTCTGGGATGGTTATCATACGGCGGCCGCCGCCATCCTCGTCCAGCTTCATGAACATGTAGGCGTTGGGCTCCAGGTTGATGCGGGTGCGGAACAGGTAGTTCCATAACGTCGGGCTGAAGTTCCAGTCCCTGCGGAACTGCGCCGCTGCTTGGCGCTGCATGCTCGCCGCCCATGCCTGAATGCCGACCTCTGGCGCACGCTCGTTGCCCTTCTTCCGCCTCGACGGCTCCATCTCCGCCTGCTCGGTCTTGATGGTGTGGACCACGTCCGGACCAGCTGTGGCATGCTTGAAGAGGAAGCAGTAGGCTATTGCCCAGTAGCCTGGCCGGAACATATCCATCAGTTGGTTCCCGGCCCGCACCTCGTAGGTCTCGAGCCCTGCGCGGATGCCGTCGTCCTTGAGGTCGGCCACCAAGTTCTCCAACGCCAGCTTCTCCGCTTCTTGCGCGTCCCGTTGGTCTTGTCCTTCAGCTACGACGGTGCGGGGCCGCTGGGCCGCAAAGGTCTTGCCGGCTGCTGCGATGTCGAGCTCTGGGGCGTCGCATGGTGTGGCCGCCTTCTGGGGCTGGAGCTTGCTGTCCATAGGCGCATCGTCATTGCCCATCTCCTCCTCAATGATGCGCAGCACCTCGGGCGGCACCCCGTCTTCCGGTAGTTCGGCCGCTTTCTCCTGCACCTTTGCATTGTCCAAGTTGATGAAGGAAGGATGACCCAGACGTTTCATCTCCATGATCAAGTCCACCACCACCTGGCAGGTCAGCGTCAAGTGTCAGAGGCATGTAAGTATGCATGTATGATACGTGCATTTTCTTGTGCATGCATGGGTGTGCCTATATACGCATACTTTCACGAAGGGATGGTAGGATGCCTAGTGTGCTTGCTAGCTATAGCTCCTTCCCAAGAAAAAGGTCTGCACACGTGTTTGACTCTCCCCCGCGCCTGTCTTCGCACCCGCGCCTGGTGAATCAAGGTCTTCACCTCTTCCTCGGTTGTCTTGCCAGTTTTGTTGGTCTTGAGAATGACGCGGAAGACTTCGCAGAGCTGTTTCCCACTGCGCGGCACCGCATCGTCTGCATCCGGCCTTTCTATGTGCGCCGTCAGCTGCTGCAACAAGGCTTCCACCGGCAGCGGGAAGGTGATCGCATTCCCTCTGGCCCCAAAGCGGTGCCGGGCCATGTGCGCCTGCTCGTCGAAGACGGCGGTGCGAGGCTCTTGACGGTGTTTGCTCTCCATGGATAACAAGACCATGCTGGTCAAACATGGCGAGGCACAAAGGAGCTCGATCGCGGTGACCTTCCGCTCGTAGATCATGTCCAGGCCGTAACCAGTCCACATGTCGTTCGCATAGCTCAGTGGTGGGAGCTTGGCCTCTGACAGGTGGTCGAAACAGCCTGTGCAGATGGGGAGCCAGCAGTGTTCGCATAAGCTCTTGGGATCCTCATGCGGCTCGCTGCACCAACAATCCTGCCAGGAACACATGCCGGGAACGAGGGTTGCACATGTAAAACCATATAGCGCTAAAACTAAATATATGAACAGTCAATGAAAGAGGAACATGAACCTTTCGCTGTACCAGAAGGTGGTAACAAGTCCTCTGGGCAGCAAAGGAGCACGCCATCGTCCAGTTCAGGCAATGTCACGCGCCAGTCCTCAAAATTTTCGTGGTCCGTCAGCTTGACCTGCTGATGGGGCTCCACTGCGTTGTACTTGGTGAGGTAGGGCTTCAGGCCAAGAAGCTCCTTCACGCTCTGCAATGGCTGGTTCAGGAACTGGAGCTCGCCGGTGGAGTCGCTGCGCTGCAAAGGCTGGTGCCACTTGATGGGGCCCTTGTCCTCGACGTCCTCCACCCGCGGATGAATGCAACCGCAGCACCAGCAGATCAGCGCCTCGACCTTGTTGCCTCTGCTGGCATCTGCGAAGCTGTACAGCGCGGTGCGGTCCAGGGAGGCGCCTGCAATGGGCGCTTGACTGCGGCATCTTTCAGCTATGGCCTGGTTGTAGGCGCTGTACATGGCATCAGGGGCCATCCCGCGCAGCATATGCCGGGTAATGGTCTTCAGATCCGTTTTGTGCTCCTCCTCCAGGTGTTGTTTGAGCTGCTCCTCCGTCCCAAGTCGCTCTGCCCACCGGCAATCCTTGAAGGCGCAAAAGACATTGGGCCACAGCCTACCAGCATCGGCTGAGGTCAAGGGCTCATCCGGCGGAATAGTTGGATGCTCGCGCAGTCGTCTCTCGGCTAGGTCCTGTCAGATTGTCGGGATTCTTGATGTAAGACACGAACCTTGTTTGCAGCTTATAACCGAAACCACACGCTTCTAGCGGGCAAATTAGCATTCCTCAGATTACCCCCCGACACCCGTCCTTGATGAGGTCCTCAACTTGCCTGTGCGGATGCGGCGAAGATTCTGCCACAGGAATATTTAGGAGCGCGTCCATGAAGCCCGGCTGGTTCTCATCGTCCTCCTCGTCCTCGTGGTCGTGCTGCGTGGCCACAGGCGTGGCGGACATGCTGGCCTCAGCTTCTGCGCTGCCTTTGTTGCCATTCGCTTTGCCCCTGCCCTTGCCCTTCTTTGGTGGCCGCGGGGCATGGAAGCCATTCTTCCCAGATGTGCCGGAGGATTGGGCACCTGCAGACAAAGGCGGGAATTCGTCGCCAACTGATGAGAAATACACTGGAGGCGGCGGCTGCGGCCACGCCGGCACCATGCCTGTGAAATCGGCAATCTCTATCAGGGCATCATAATGGTCCTTCCCATTGTAGAGGATATGCTGCGCGGGCATAGCGGCATAGCCAAAGATGGACCCATGGCTCACCTCCTCCACGGTCACATGCCCTGCTTCTGCATGGTGGGTGTGGACGATAACCCTGGTGTTCTTCATGAGGCTATATGCGATGATGGCAGTGTGACCACCCCACTTGCTGGCCCTCAATTTGCTGGCCTCGCGGAACCAGGCGTCCTCAAAACCATTCTGTTCCGCGGCGCGCGCCTCCATGAAGTCCGCGACGTCGATGCGCAGCGGGCCGCCGTCGGAGGCATCGAAGAACGCCAGGGAGTGAAAGAGACAGTCGCCGTCGCCAGCGACCTTGACCACGCTCATGGTCTTCGGGGCCTGGCAAAGTCACGAAAGCCCATGCGTATACGCAAGATAACATGTTCCCGCGCCTCTGCTGCAGCCGGTGCACAAGACGCTGACGCAGACGTTGCCATCGCAATGATCTGACCTGGCAAGCAAATATGTAATGCCCCTTACCTCACTCGCCACTCTTCCCTCCACCGGCCTGTGCTATCAAAGCGATAGCGGAGCGAATTGCAAGGAAGCAAACAGATGCTTGAAAGGGCTGCAGCGGGCAGAGACACTCCCATCCCATCCATCCCATCCCATCCCACCCATCCCATCCCATCCATCCCATCCCATCCCATCCATCCCATCCCATCCCATCCATCCCATTCCGCAGGCAGCAAGCCAACTTTCAGAAAGAAAGCTTTCCAATGATGCTAGCAAGTACAGGATGAAGCGCATGAAACAAAATACGCGCTGCTAAGCAGAAGCTACACGACCCGTCTTTTTCGTCGCCGGGCAGCTCCAGAATATCATAATGCGAGGCTACGGCGGCCGTCCTGGGCACAAGGGAAGAAAGTTTGCAGATTTCAAACAAACACTGCGATGGAAGATATTGAAGTTTGGTGATTATATAACTACCCGAAAGATGAACCAAATTGAAAGATAACCCGTGACCCGACTGCAGATGAGAAGAAGCTGCATTAGAATTTAAAGCGCTCTTGCTGTCAACCTGCCCGCGCCTGTCAAAGTCTGGGCATCAGCAGGCATCAACCGTGATCGCCGTGTCCGGCGTGTGCTCTGCCGTCTGTTGGATGAAGCTCAACCGTCGCCATCCTGCGCCGGCCCTTTCGCCCATGCCGGCAATGATGGCGCTTGGCAGCAAGAGCTCCAAGAGGCATGCAGCCTGGTAGAACCCGGCGCTGTGTCGCTCCAATACCTGAGTCAGGAATTCGAGGACATCTTCATACATATCCGCATTGACATTGTTTGCGTATCAATGGTGCCCTTCATGTCCCGGTCTACTTCAACCTTTTTTGATTATTGACATTTGCAAACTAGGGTGGACTATTGCCAGCGTAAACCCACCCAGCCCAGGGGATAGTTTGCCCAATACTTCAACTAGTGAGCATCAATGATTGAATTTGATTTGCTGCATTACACATGCCCCAAAAATGCCCCAGTTCTATGACCCCATACTTTGCAGCGATTTGCTTGCTTCCATATTTTGTTGGAAAAACGCAAATTGAACTAGTGCCGATAAGTGCAGACTAATGCCGATAAGTGCAGACTAATGCCGATAAGTGCAGACTAATGCCGAACAATAAAAAAAAGTTTTTGCGGCAGGACTAATTGCCGAATGTGCAGATAGTCACGACGCATGGAAGTGCAGACTAATGCCGATAAGTGCAGACTAATGACGATAAGTGCAGACTAATGACGAGATAAAGTGCAGACCAATGCGCCCGGTGACAAGGCTCCAATACCTGAGCTGAAAGGTCAAATGCATATAGAGCATGATCCTGGGGACTATTTTGATTGGAAGCCATGTATTCCAGGAGCGTCCCAAAATCACCCAAATCTATTTCAATGTGGCTCGAAGCTTTATCTAATGATTGTTGTGGGAAAAAGAAAGCTTTGCCTATGCAGAACTAATGACGATTCAATGAGAGAAGATGCGACTATTGTCCGAAGAGACACCCCAGGACCTGAGCCAAGGGGTCACTTGAGTTCTTCATAAAATTTGGAGGGATGTGCCAAGCCTGACTGGGGAGAGCCTCCAAAATGGGTACCCCAGAAACATGCCCCAAATCTAGCCTTGTAAGGTACCGGTTTGTTGAAGGAAAATGGGCTAACATGTCTCCAAAAGAAGCCTTTGACTGGTATGAATTTATGCAAATTGATGCTGTCTAAGTTCAACATCTCTTGCAGGCTAAGTGCAGACTATATGCCAAAATAAGTGCAGACCAATGCCGAGAAGTGCAGACTAATGCCGATAAGTGCAGACTAATGCCGATAAGTGCAGACTAATGCCGATAAGTGCAGACTAATGCCGATAGATGCAGACTAATGCAGACCAATGCAGAGAAGGTGCATCATGTCAGACCAAGGCGTCCCAGGACCTGAGCCAAGGGGTCAATTGAGTTCTTCATAAAATGTGGAGGGATGTGCCAAGCCTGACTGGGGAGAGCCTCCAAAATGGGTACCCCAGAAACATGCCTCAAATCTAGCCTTGTAAGGTACCGGTTTGTTGAAGGAAAATGGGCCAACATGTCTCCAAAAGAAGCCCTTGACTGGTGTGAATTGATGCAAAGTAATGCAGTCTAAGTTCAACATCTCTTGCAGGCTAAGTGCAGACTATATATGCCGATAAGTGCAGACTAATGCCGAGAAGTGCAGACTAATGCCGATAAGTGCAGACTAATGCCGATAAGTGCAGACTAATGCCGATAAGTGCAGACTAATGCCGATAAATGCAGACTAATGCAGACCAATGCAGAGAAGTCGCATCATGTCAGACAAAGGCGTCCCAGGACCTGAGCCAAGGGGTCACTTGAGTTCTTCATAAAATGTGGAGGGATGTGCCAAGCCTGACTGGGGAGAGCCTCCAAAATGGGTACCCCAGAAACATGCCCCAAATCTAGCCTTGTAAGGTACCGGTTTGTTGAA